ATATTTTATTATAAAGTATAATAATAAAAAGGTATTCCTTGCGTAACGACAAACCATGCAAGCGCTTCTTACCCATTTAGCTATACCCTCATCTTTCAACGCAAGAGGGTTATGTTACGTTTATGTTGAATTTGTTCTAGAGCAGGAGAAAAAATTTAGCAAACTTTCTGATGCCTCCGAGAAGTGTTCTTTTATTTGGTGAAGCTAGGTTACAGACTTTTACCACTTCAAGTCCCCAACATTAATACAAAATATCGTTTTTAGTGCTGGTAGTGTCCGGTGTTCATTTGATTACGTAAACGCGCCTCAAGTCTCGGAGTATTCTGAGGTAAAGAATTTTTTATTATCAATTGAAAAATAAGTTTGCTTTTTTATTAGTTTTATTACGTTTTAAATTCTTAAACAGTTAGGCAATTTTAGGTTGTATTTTGAATTAACGCATTAATATAATTCGTGACTCCAAACAAAGGAAATTACTCCAATCAGGTAGTACGCTATGGTTATGAGATATTGAAATGACACATGTTATTATTTCGAAGGCGCGTCTTTGCTGTTTGAGTTTGAGAAGTCAGTTTTAACTCTCCACTTAATTCGGACATCAGAACTGTTTTAAGAAACATTGAGACTTTGAAACTGATAAAGTCGCTTCTCTCGTATCTCCTATTGCTGTCTTAACATTGCTCGTTCAGCTGAATATGACGCCAATGATGCAGTGTTTTTTTGAAATTTACTATTTCAGTTTTTACGCTTCTTTGACATGGAGTATTCTTATGATTGGTAAGATTTTATTTCTCTACGATTTCAGTCTTTAAAGAGCCTAGTTGGATGGTTTTTTGAACCGTTTTTCGAACAACATTTAGATTTTAGGTTCGCAAGGCATCTAAATGAATATGAACATTGTTTATCTTCAGAAGCTTCAAGCTTTATATTGAAGACTGGCACGTGCAAAGGACGCCGGAGTTAACGCCAGAACAGGCGTCTTGTTAAAATGTATGTTTGTTTGAAAAATTATAAAAATGAAATGATGATCTGCTCTGAAGTAATTAGTCATGCCGACTCATGCAGAGCCTGAGCAGAAATTTCTCTAAACTTCCCAGTAATGCACTAAAACACTTATATTGATTAGGTACAGGTACTGGTTTTCATATAATATACATAATTCCCAAAAAAATTGGAATAATGATACCCACATTCACTTGCATGTTGTTTACAGGTTGTAGCAATTACTGTTTTCAAAGCAAAATATGACAAAACTCTTTTATCTTATTAGGCTCAATTACATCATGTGCTATTTAAAGTAGAATAATTATGTTTTGTTGAACATTTATCAGTTATAACAGGACCAAATATCGGCCGATTTGGAAATGATTGAGAAATGTAGTAAACCTGAGAGTCAAAGGCCAAGTACTGTAGCTTTATGATTTGCAGAAGAATTACACTCCACTCCTTTATAAATATTGGAATATGTCATATATTTTTATTAAACTTATACAATCTCATTATTCTCATATGTAAATTAAAAACGTTTATGCATATGAAAACTATACCTTTCGCAAACTCGACGTCTAGTGCTTTTTTGCGTCACGCTTTTTTTTGAATTTTCTTTAAATGAACCTAGATTCTTACAGACTCAATAGTGAAACATTTTGCCTTCCGCGGACATCTTTAAAACAACACAGGCCTGGCAACAGAACTCTCAGTTAAGACAAAGGTCCAATGATCTGAAAATCACTGGATAACTCATGTTTATGACATAAATGTCTTTACTCAGTTGCGACCTCATTAGTTATTTGTTGGTACAGTTAAAGCTAAGAGGGGCAAATACAGACTAATTTTCATCCAGTTCAAATTCGAAGAAAACAATTAATAACCAAGAGCAAAAATAATTAATGTTTCATTTTAAAACTCCAGGAACAACAAATAAGAAAAAAAGACATAAGAAAAAGAATGAAACGAAGAAGTGGAGTAAAAAGTCTGCCAAAGCTTGAGCTACAACTGGGATGTAGATAAATCCGATTACATACACATTTCAAATACTAGTATATTTCGCGCTATTACACATTGCGATGACGAAAAATAATAAAAAAAAACAAAACAAAAACCTAGGCGAATTTTCAACTCCGTCAATGACGCCGGAGTAATAAAATTACTTTAAGGCTAACTTAAAGGCTGAATTACGTAATTTTTACAGTTAATCAATCATTAAAATTATAGCTATATAACTATTGCTAAGAAAAATTAAGATTATTGATATAAGTTAATGAAATAATTTCATTTATAAAATAAAATCGAAAAGAGAGGCTAACTATTGAGTTTAATTCAGGTATAATAATAACTATATAGCTCTTCTCCAGCCGTTCCAAATTGTTTTTCAAGTATTGAGGTAGCGCATTGTAAAAAACCGGGACATAGTCCATGACTGATCTAATGCATGGTATGTACAAGGAAGCCAGGGCTTTACACGGAACACTTGCGCGTTTAAGTTGCTCAAGTAAATCACCAGTAAATAGCGTATTTTATTAACCTTTTTGACGACTTTGTCTATGTGAGGTTTCCATGTTAAAGTATTATTAATTGTAAGACCCAAGAGTTTGATTTTATTAACAACTTCTAACTCTTTTCCATTGAATACAATTGGATCGAAAGGTCTCTGATATCCAATTGATGACGCATATGCTAATTCTAACTCTGATAGTTTTTGGATCAAAATTGAACAATTGACAATATCAAATGCTTTTCGGTAATCGAAGAGGATTGTTCTTACAACGGCGCCATTACCGTCAGTGGTGGTGGACCAGCGATGGATCATGCTGATTAATACAATAGTAGTGGAACTTCTATATAGGAACTGCACCATACTGATTTGGGTCGATGACTTTCAAGATTGCTGCTTTCACATAATCAACGACAATAAATTCCACAGCGACTTTAGAGATACCATGCAGCGGTAAGTGAAATAGGTCTTAAATCTTTCTTTGGATCTTTTACAATTTTTGTGTTTGGCAAGGGTGTAATATTGGCCATTTTCCAAGTGGTAGGAACACGTTGCTCTCAGTATGAGGTGTTGAGGATAATTGAGATTGCAAGGGCTGGGATATATGAATAGTCTTTAATAGGCTTTGATATGTTTAGAAAAGTTGCCATTTCCTCCAACGGAAATTTTGGTAACGGACATTCTAGTCTAAAAATGTTTTATTCATTTCATTTGTTTGATCTCTTGGTGTAAGGTTGGAAAACGTTTCAACATTGGCTAAACTTATCAGTTTCCGTTTGGTTACAAGGTTTGAGATACGTTTAATTTCAGACCACCATTTCTTCGGGTTTTTTTCCTTTCAACTTATGCATATTTAGTTGATAATATTTCGCTCTACATTATTTTCGCTCCCTAGCTGTTAACTAAATCCCTGTACTTTTAAATATCGCCGATTTAATTCCAGGAGTAGCAAAGGCTTGTTGTCTTTTCTTAATGAGCGATTTCAATTTATTGTTCATCCATGGTGCATTGTGGCGGAGACCGTTTGATTTCTTTACTTGGCATCGAAAATTCAAGGCCGGTAAAAACCACGTTGTAAAACTGATGTATTCCACATCTCTTCACAGTTGATCTGATTGGAGGTTGGGAATAATTGATTGCCATTTTATAGAACTTAAATATCTACCAAATTCAGCTCTGCCAGATTGACGATAGTCTCGTTTTGTCATAACAATCTTCTTATTTAGTTTGGGACTTTTGACACATGAAGTCATGAACGGGGCTAATTGCCTCTTTTGCCTTCCTCTGGGCGGCCTGGTCAGTCATATATTATGCTGTACCAGTCTTCTATCGCGCCCTTCCGAGATATTTAATGAATGACCTTGTATTTTTGGAAAAAAGAGCGATAGCAATTTTAAAGCCAGGAGTGGATTATGGTTCAGCTTGTGAAACTTTGAATGTAAGACAAATGGAAGAATATCATAACCTTTTATGCGAGAATTTGTTCAAGAATATAGTCAAAGATCCGGAGCATAAACTTCATAATTTGATCCCAACGTTACATCAACCGCATCATGACCTCAGAAATGAACGTAAATTTAACATACCACACTTTCATACTGATCGTGCCAAGAATTCTTTTATACTTAAGATGGCAGCTAAAACGTAACTCTATATTCTATAAAACTCTATATACGGTTTGAATACTGGAATGGATCTGAATTTGTTTCAAACCTTCTTTACTTGAAAGATTTTCCGTGAAATAGAGAAAATGGGCTACTCCGGGTTGGTGGAGGGGGGTCAGGGTGGCATTAAGCTGCACTGGATGGGGAAATGCCTCCCCCAGCATGTGCGCTGAAAAAGGCCCTGAACACGTAATTATAATAGGTGGTCTTCCACCCAGAATTTGAAATAAAAATTAGAAATTAGGAAATTTTTGAAAGCTACATTTTTAAATTCCCTGATTTATAAGCTCTCATTTGATGTATTGTTCACCCACTAAATCTAAGTAGAAATGTAATATTTTGGCGATTTAGTGAGAGAATGTAAGATTTTTCCCCTTGACAACGGCCTTAGCAACGCATTGTTGTCCTAAAAAAATCCTGATTGGTTTGCTTTGAAGCGATATATTTGCATTTATTTACTTGCTTACCCCTCCCCCAGTTAGTTAGCTATTTGGTGTGCGATTATATGCTGCTGACATGAAGTATAGGCCATGAAAACCACGAGTTATCTTCCGGCAGACAATCAAAGCTTTGAGCTTCACAAACACAACGACTAAAAATCCAAACAAAAAGTTCTTCTTTATCGACGTTATTCTCATTTTTGTGACGATGGGGAGAAAGAAATCTTCTGGATACAGTAAAAAGCGTAAATTTTCTGGTAACCAGTTTACAACTGCAGCAAAAAAGCCGAAGATTCCCGATCAAAGTGAGACGACCAAATCGAATACGTCTGCTTCTGCTCAAAAAATTTCCGCAACGATTTCGACCGCACACACAGAAACCAAAGAGGGGAGTGTTTCTGGCTTTCGTTTAGTCGATCTGGAAATTTTAAAAGGCACACTTGAGCTCTTGCCGTGTTCAAATTGTCTACAATTTAGCCTTCAATTTCTCGAGGATCCACACAAGCGGATGGGATGTGCTTCATATCTGTATTTGAGGTGTTCTTCCTGTGAGTGGACAAATGAATTCTACACCTCGAAACTTACTAATAACTTCTATGAAGTGAACAGAAGGATGGTATATGCCATGAGATCTATTGGTTGTGGACGTGCTGGAGCTAAGCGATTTTGTGGACTTATGAACATGCCACCACCACCAAGACCTACTCCATATGCTTTGCACAACAAAGCTCTTCTCCAGAGTGCTAAGACTGTGTATGCAAAAACAGTAGTAGATGCTTCTAAAGAAATCCATGACCTGAAACAAACAGCGTCAAATGAAGTTGTGGATTGTGCAGTGTCGTGTGATGGGACTTGGCAGAGGAGAGGATTTTCATCACTTAATGGTTGCGTCGCCACAATCTCCATGGATACGGGGAAAATTCTAGATGTGGAACCACTAAGCAAAGTGTGCCATACCTGTAAGAAGCTCAACAAGAAGCCACAGACATCTGAAACTGCATCTTTGAAAGCTGAACATGAGCCAAAGTGCAAGGCAAACTATGAAGGATCTGCACCTGCAATGGAACCAGAAGGTGCTTTGAGAATTTTTAATCGGTCGGTGGAGAGCAACAAGCTTCGTTATTCAGAATTTTACGGTGATGGAGATAGCAAGAGTTATGCTGCTGTGAAGGATGTGTATGAGGAAGACAATGTAACAGTCACTAAAAAGGAATGTGTGGGACATGTACAAAAAAGGGTTGGAACAGCACTGCGAAAGTTGAAGAAAGAGAACAAAGGTTTGGGAAGAAAAGGTCGTTTAACGGATGCCATGATTGAAAAATTACAAAATTATTATGGGATAGCCATTCGAACTAATTGTAAAGACATAGAATCCATGAAGAAAGCAATATATGCTGCTCTGTGTCATTGTGCTTCATCTGGTAAAGATGATTACCATATCCATTGCCCAGATGGTAAAGATAGCTGGTGTGGCTTTAAGCGGGATAAGGCTAATGCCACAAAGGAGTACAAGCATGGTGCTGGCCTCCCTAAGCAAGTCATTGGCCATGTTAAACCAATATTTGACAGACTAAGTGAGTCCAGTCTGCTGCAAAGATGCCTTGATGGAAAAACTCAAAATCAAAATGAGTCATTCAATGCCATGATTTGGAATCGTGTCCCAAAAGAAGTGTTCGTTGGATCGGATGTGTTTTCGTTGGGTGTTTATGATGCTGCTGCCCATTTCAACACTGGTGCATCTGCTGCAATTGAGCTGCTGAAGGATATGGGCCTTGCATCTGGCAAGTTTTGTTCAGAGGAGTGCTTGAATTCTGACAAACTGCGTGTACGGAAAGGAAATTACAAATGTCAAGACAAGAATAAGAAACGGCGGAAGGTGCTACGGGGAGAAAAAAAGAAGAAAGGGGACAAATTAGTCGCAAAAGAAGGAGAAACCTATGCATCTGGTGCATTTTGACTTAAATTAGTTATATTGACTTGGTAATGTTTTAATACTTGTATATTTCTTGATTTGTATTCAATATATTCTCAGTCATCTTTATTGCTCGTTTTCTCAAAATAGCATTTTCCGCCATCCAGAAATCTTTTAAAAAGGATAACTCAAAAACTATTTAATGAAATGACCTGAAAGTTTCTATGTGGTAAGATAGATATGTTTTCTTGTTCCTGAACCTAAAATTGCATATATATTTTTAATAGGGCACAAATAACTGGATTTGATGCACTCTACTGCATTGTAAAAATTGATATCTGCTGTTTCTTAATGAAATAATTTAAATCTTGGAAGGGTTTTTAGGTTCATCCCCTAGATTGGTCTATAGTGAATACAGAAATAAGATTTATTTGTTTTTCTAGCCCCTCTTTGCTTCTCTATACTTTTTGAAAAATGGAGACTAAAATCACAGTTGGGGGTCATTTTCTTGGTTGCCATGGCAACATATGGTTCAACAACTATGTTGTTGTCATCACTATACCAGTACCTCTTTGGTTCATGCATAAGTAGTTGAGTTGAAGCTAATTTATTGATAATTGAAATCAGGGTGGAAGACCACCTTATTAACTTGCGTGGACTGGCGGTGTGGTTATCAAACACAGCAATAACATGACGTATTCAAAAATCATAAACCACCGCTATAGATTTTGAACCAGACTGAGGATTCGTATTTACAAAAATTGTTGGTATTTGGATGAAAAATGCAAAGAAAATGCAAAAACATAAAAATAATTCAACCAAAAAGATTCTAAAATATATATTCTATCATAAAAAATACCTTCTTGAGTAAAACTAAAGGTTGCAGAAGAAAGTGGAGATTGGAGTTGGATAATTATGATAAAGAGGGGACTTAATTATTCTGGTGGATAACGGTTGAAAACCTTGGTAGGTGTTGATTTTAATGTTTTCTCACTCCTCAAAAGTTCAAGATTCCATTTTTAACTATGATTTGGAAAGTTAACGATGCCCTTTAGGATGCATGATTAAGAATTTTATTCAACCGGCCCCTGAATTCGATTTCGAATAGAAAAAAAAGCCGCATATGTGTTATTTCGAATATATTTTTCTAAGAATGCAATCTGATATTGTATTAATCTCAATGATGTGGTACGTCTGCTTGAAGTTTTCTGTACTTTCTTACTCAATATTCATTTAATAGTTTAATAGTATATATGGGAAAAAAGGCATCTTCACCTAAATTGTGTTCATGAATTTATATGTCATTTTACATAGGAGATTAAAATTTTTTTAGTGCAATAGACTTTGGCAATTTAATATAGAATCTTGAACAGATTATGAATTTAATAAAACCAGCAAATAATTGTTGAAAACTGCAATAGTTAAACAAATATATAAATATGGGATAAATAAACCAGGACTACAGGATTTATTATAATTTTGTACACTCCTTGTGGTAAACACTCAAATATGAATTCAAAATTCAATAATTATTCTACATATGTGGTCATGTGTCTGATATATATGCCTATTTTACTATTTGACATGCACAATATATAAATATAAATATATATATATATATATATATATATATATATATATATATATATAACTAATTTATACGGTTGCCTGTTGATTGCTTGTTGCATAAAACTTGAAGTAGCATTAAAAATTGTAATGAAAACATTAAAATAAATGCTCTACAAAATTGTCTTGTATTGAGCACTTTCCATTCTTGAAAATTATAATTATTTACATGTATATATATATATATATATTATAATATATATATATATATATATATATATATATATATATATATATATATATATGAAGGTGTTTGAGGTATCATGTCTGGTGTATTATTGAATGGTTAACAGTTCTTCTTCAGACATTAAATTTTAATAAAACTATACAGGGTGTATCAAAAAAAATGTCCCAAATGTAAAATTTCCGTTTTGCAGGATATTTTGCAGAATTTGGCAAATTTTTGTGTTCCTAGAGATAGTTAAGACTTATCTGGTATACCTAGGCCAAGTTTGGTTTTTCATTAACAAAATTATATTACCGGGGGGGGGGTGGTTCCTTTCCACTGATATTGAGAGGGCTTGCGCGCGAAAATGTAAAGCTGAAATTGAGATATTATTTAGCTGTCTAAAAGTAGGAAAACTTTTTAATAAACTGTCAAAGTTTCAGGAAAAATAATGCAAACTGGGAGCAACGCGCGACCCCTAAAGGTGACAAATATTTCATTGCGCGCAGTGGATTGAATGCATGGTTGATTTTAGCGTGACCGATCTCATGCAAGGCTGGGCAAATGAATAAATTAAAGCGAGAAACTGAACAAGAAGACGAAGCGATTTAATAATAAGATTCTTATTCTTGATGTTAATCTTCAACATTTCCACCATTTCTTTCTAAGCAAACTGCGGCTCGTCTGAGCATGGTAAACACTGAACGGCGAACCACATTTGTCTGTCCTGCCTCAAATTATCCATTTCGTTCGAAATTCTTTCTTGCAAATCGCCTATGCTACCACCGGCAAATCTAGGCGAATGGACAGACAAATGGTTCGCTGTTCAGTGTTTAGTATGCTCAGACAAGCAGCAGTTTGCTTAGAATAAAATGGTGGACATGCTGAGGATTAACATCACGAATAAATCGCTTTGTTTTTGTGTTCAGTTTCTCGCTTTAATTTATTCATTTGCCCAGCCTTACATGAGATTGGTCACACTAAAATCAACGATGCATTTAATCCACTGCGCGCAATGAAATATTTGTCACCTTTAGGGGTCGCGCGTTGCTCCCAGTATGCATTATTTTTCCTGAAACTTTGACAGTTTATTAAGAAGCTTTCCTACTTTTAGACAGCTAAATAATATCTCAATTTCAGCTTCACATTTTTGCGCGCAAGCCCTCTCAAAATCAGTGGAAAGGAACCACCCCCCCCCGGTGGTTCCTTTCATGAATTGTGTTCATGAATTTATTTATGAACGTATTTTGACAATTCAGTGCTGTTCTCGTATCTGATGTCGTTAAATGTGAATTACAATAATAATACTGTTAATTGTGAATTACAATAAACAGTTTTTACTTAACAAACGCTGTGAGCTTTTCACAAAATGCGTGCACGCACGCAAATTCGTCGCGGGATATTTCAAACGTTGAAACGCGTCAACAAACTAATAGCTCGCGCAATTTAACCGTGTTTTCATTAGTACGTTGCCTGATGATTGCTTAAGTGCATGAAACTTAAAGTAGCAACTAATTAAAAGAATTGTATTTATAATTGTTTATATAATATAATATATATATATATATATAATATATATATATATATAATATATATATATATATATATATATATATATATTATATATGAAGGTGTTTGAGGTATCATGTCTGGTGTATTATTGAATGGTTAACAGTTCTTCTTCAGACATTAAATTTTAATAAAACTATATATTAAAAATGTCCAAACGTATATATATATATATATATATTCTATAGATTAATATTCAAAGTCTAATTAGAGATAAAATATTCAAATTTTAATTAGAATTGCATATGATTACATTTGCATGGGATTTCATTCATATTACACAACATATGCAATTCTAATTAGATTTTGAGTATCTATCTATATATCTATCTGCGGCCAACGTTTTTGCAAATGGGTATATATATATATATATATATATATATATATATATATATATATATATATATATATATATATATATATATATATATATATAATATAGATATATATATATATATATAGATATATATACAGTCGTTATCAAAAAGGTTGTCATATTGAAATATATATAAATACGTAAATATCAGTCACGTGATTTTACTGCATACGTTAATTTTATGGGAAATCCGTGAAAATCTTTGTTAAAAATTTCATAAATATAATAGTAAGGTTAACAATATTGATAATAATAAAGAAACAAGACAAAAATGAGCGAAATAAACAATGTTTAATGCTCACGTGATTGATATATATATTTGTATATATATTGATAGGGACAACCTTTTTGATAACGACTGTATATATATATATATATATATATATATATATATATATATATATATATATATATATATATATATCCAAAGAATTAACTGTAACGAAGAGTTCACAGAACCTGACAATGGTTGAAGAGTGCTCAAAACCATTACCGGCAGAGGAAAGATATATTTATCTATTAAAGACTAGCTTAGCTACCCGGAGTTTCACGCTATAAAGCGATCATCAGGCTAATGGCAGGTCTTGTTGCTATTCTCTATATATACATCGTGAAATAAGGTATCGGGTCACGTGTCTACATCGAGTGAAAAGTTCCGAGCGTTTGTTCAGCAGTGATTTAGTTTTGCGTTTCATTACGTATAGCTTCTCTTCAAGGCAGAGGTTGCATCTTCTTGAGCCGGCTTTGTAGGCTGGGACGGTTTTCAGGAGGGCCCATGTTATATGATCTGGCCAATTTCAACATGTATTCGGAATTCATCTTCTAAAATGCAACTGGTATGTTGTTAGTATCATTTGCTGCAAACAAATATTTATTGTGACGACTTTCATAGGATGGATCTGCATGTTCTAAGTGTGAACCAAACTAAAAGTGAAACTATAGGTGTCCAAGGATAGTTCAAAGTTATATAGATAGTGCTAAGCAACCAGACATTTGTCCCAACATAAACGTTTTAACTTATGCCAGTAAAAATATAAAGAACTAGGTTAAACATTACCCTTAATCAAATGGGAGATTACTCAAAGTACTTGAATTACGTTAGCCCCGATATTGTAATACTAGATTATAATTTTAGTTGCTCATGCAAAGCGGGCGTTATTTTATCAGTTTAGTATTATAGGGTTTGGCAAAAAACACCATGTCTCATCTCTTCGTCAAACAACTGTGACTACATCAACTACATGTATATGATGGCAACAACTGATCCGTCATTTCCAAAGAATAGCCAAAATAGTTGCGTTGTAAATAATGGAAATAAAACCGCGGTGAATATTATGTCTATGATGTGAATACAAAGCAATATAATTATCAATCAATACTGTATACCACCAAAGGAAAAGGGATGGATGATAAATAAAAAAATAAAACAAGTTAAACTGATTTAAAAACGTTACATTTCTGATCATGTACAAAAAATTACTATAAGCGTAAATCAAACTACCCCCGGAAAGTTTACACTATGAATGACTGACTGATTCTCTGACTCGTCTGAATTTTCGCCACTTAGGACAAAGAAACTTTGCCCTAAAAAAGCAGTCCCCTCGACTGTTCACACGCAAGCTTTCAACAGGCCAGAACAAGACTAAATTTGCAAGACTGTTGCAGTAAATTTGCATAGGTTGTTCCTGATGGGATGCTGGTGTTTTCCCCGTCCTATGGGACCCTTCATACAACACTGGAACATTGGCAAGCATACCTATAGATTTAACGATGGTGTAGTTTCTGATACGCGGACGAATTAACAGACGAATTAAAAATATTTTCCCAAGTTCGTCCAGACGAATTGTTCGTCTCTAACACTAATGTGATTTTTACAGATTAATCTTACTGGACCTTTTGTTAGTTCTTCCTTAGCCTTAGGTCGAAATTCCACCGCCTCTTTTGTTGACGAAACTGATAGGAACGATGTTTCATATCTTAGCCCGTTACGTTAATTCACAATGATTATTCTTTGTTTTGTAAGAGTTCTGGTCTATGGACTTGAGACAAGAAAACTTTTTTGTTGAGCCAGACGGAAAAGGGAATTTACAGAGTTAGGTTCTCTTCCCATGCAGCGAAATCTTAAAACTAGGCTTTTTAAAACTAGTTCATCTGTACGTTTTTACCACGACGAAAAACGGGTCATTTTGATCTGTAGGTTATGTTCAACTAAATTATTCTTAATGAACAGGCTGATTGAGGTTTATCTTAGGATTTATGGTCTGTTTTAGGCAATGGAAGGATTTTATGAAAAAGTCTGCAATCCAGAGAACAAGGGTGCTGTGTTTCTTGCCGTTTGCCTAGGAAAGGTATGGTGTTTACCGCACTTTTCCAACGTATTAATACCAAAGTCATTAAACACAGAAAGTTAAGACAGCTTGTCAGGTTTAAAACTTTGTACAGTAATAAGCTCTTGGTCTTTTTGATCTGCTGAAATCTTGTCAGATTTGGTGGAAACAGGTAGTAATTTCATGTCCAGAGTCAACAAATATAATCCTTGATTCTAACCCTCTATTATAAATAGTTGGGTAAGAGTTAGGGTGAGGTTGGAAATTAAAAGTTAGGATTAATTTCGTAGAGCTTGGACATGAAACGAGCTATGGACATGAAACTATGATCGAAACATACAAGTCAAACACATCCTGATAGCAGATCGTAAAAAGAATTGATACAAGCCTCAGATGTTTTACAAGAAACTCGTGTGTTTCTCACGTTTAGTTCAGCGAAGGTGTTGACTTCAGTAATATCAACGGTCGTGCTGTCGTCACAACTGGTTTACCTTATCCACCGGATTTTGATCCAAAGGTTTGGTTTTCGATTAACAACCTAGCTAATGCTGTTTTAATATTCGCAAAAATAAATTGGGAAATGAGTCTTTTGATTATCGTTCAGCGATAATAGGAATACGTTCGGATTTGTGGTTACTCAAGTTTAATTTATTAATAATATGGCTTTTTAAGATCCTCTACTCTGATTGGTTGGTCGTGAAACACATATCCGTCGGTCAATAATCAGTTATTATTACCCCGGTTATGGTAAAAATCTATTATCTCTAGACATCTTTTCCAAAGTTCAAAAACATTTTTTTGTTTTCCCTCGCATTTCAGGTGGAATTGAAAAAACAATTCCTAGATGAGGTGGTAAACAAAAGAGAATTTAAGGTTGGTTATAAAGTACTTTTAATCCTATTTTTTTTTTAAGAAATAAACTATTAAAATTGCTTTGTGGTTTTACAATCCTATACGAAACCAGGAATATGTGGCAATTCCAGACTCAAAAGTCAATTTAGCCCGTATTCAAATAGGGAAACTTTTGTGCTGAGAATTTTATCTGAAGCTCTGTCAATTCAAATCGTGACTGTAATCTCAAAGTCATATATCATTGTTTATACCATCACTACCACAATAGTTTGATAAACTTCTTCTGAGTCAGAAACAAATGTAGGTACTATTTCACTCATAATCTTGTATTTCCAGGGATTAAATGGTCAACAGTGGTATGGTCAGCAGGCATCTCGAGCTGTCAATCAAGCCATCGGTCGTGCATTACGTCATAAAGAAGATTATGGAGCCATACTCTTTTGTTGCCAGAGGTGTGTTTCTTAAACGTTAACATGGTCCAACAAATTTTGGATGAGAATTACTGAAAACTCTGCCAAATGACCCTGCATATCCGTTCTAATCTGATACCCAGCTTCTGGTCTACGGTGTTCAATTATGTCTCGAACAATAATACCCTATAATGTCAATACACTTAGTTTATATACATCCTGACGTCATTAGTTAATATTAGTAATAAGTAATATTAGTGAGTTACTATTTGTTATATCACACTACATCTCCCTTTTCTTCGATTTGTCAACATAATGTCAACGACTGTATTGTTCTGTCTTTATAGCTAATGCCATACGGTACTTAGTTATTCTAGTCCCAGATTCTCTCTGGCCTTTAAAGAAAGTGTTTTTATTCTTTTCGGTCTGTTGTTCGTATTCGTATTAGGTGGGTCTTCCTGTTTCTCTTGTTTCTTGTCGACTTGCTGAATTATGGTGTGATTTGGAATACTACGTAGATGTGCTCTGTTCCTTCTTATAACCGTCATAGGGGTGTCAACCAAATATGATCTTGGTTTGTTGGATGTTTTGATTACTGTTCCTGTGCAGTTCATATCTGTCACATAAACTGTTGTTCCTGATGTCAAAGGCTTCATGGTTCGAGCATTATGGCGATTATCAAAATTCTTCTTCTGTTTCAATCTATATTCTTCTTCCTTTGCTTTAAAAAGTTCCTGGTTTGGTAGCTGCGGTGTGAGCTGTTGTGTCATTATTGGTATTGTTGATTTTATCTTTCTCCCCATGAGGAGTTCCGCTGGCGAATATCCACTTGCTAATGGTGTTGATCTATATGCTAACATTGCTTTTGCGGGATCTTTTTCTTTCTTCAAGATATTTTTCACTGTCCTTACTGCCCGTTCTACCTCTCCATTCGCTTGAGGATAGCGAGGACTACTGGTACTATGCTTGAATCCCCATTCTTTTGCAAACTGGGCGAACTCGTCACTGTGGTATTGGGGCCCATTGTCGGAACGTACTTCGTCCGGAATCCCGTGCCTGGCGAAGATGGCTTTTAAAGCTTGTATTATCTTTGTTGAACTTGTATCTTTGGTTAGTGCCACAACTTCAACATATCGAGAATAATAATCTACCACTAGTAGATAGGTCACCTTTTCTAGAATAAACAAGTCTGTTGCGATCAGTTGCCATGGTCTTGCTGGGAGTGGCGTTGGGATCAACGGTTCTGCATGCTGTTGTCTGTGCTTGCTGCAAGGTGTACAATTTTCAACCATAGTTTTGATTTGTGCACTAAGTCCTGGCCACCAAACGGATATCTTGGCTCGTTCTCTGCATTTGTTAATCCCTTGGTGACCTTGGTGTATTTGGGCAAGGGTTTGGCGTTGAAGATTGGATGGAATAACTAGTCTTGTTCCTTTTAGTAATAACCCGTCAACAATTGTGAGTTCTCCTTGTACTGACCAGTATGGTTTTACTGCCCGGGTGACATGATCCTTGTCTGGCCATTGATCCATGCAGTACTTCTTCACTTCTTTGCATACCTCATCCTCATCTTGAGCTTGTTGTATTTGTTTCAATCTTGGATTTGATGCCGGGAGTGCTTCCATTACACTGGAGGTGTAGGTATTCATTTCCTGTTCTGCTATCGTTGGTTGAGCTGTGCCCTCAGGTATTTTTCTTGACAAAGTGTCAGCTGTGTAGCGTAGTTTTCCAGGTACGTGTCGGACTTCCTTGATGTGAAATCTCATGAGTCTCATCTTATAGCGTTGTAGCCTTGGAGGTAGTTTGTCGACCGTGTGTTGGGTTAGCAGGGGAACCAGTGGTTTATGGTTAGTTTCTATTATTATCGCCTTTTTAATTATGTAGTTGCTTGACCGCTCACATGCCCAAGTAACCGCCAGAGCCTCTTTTTCTGTTTGCGCATACTTAGTCTCAGTTGCTGTCATCGATCTTGAAATGAATGATACAGGTTTCCAGTTACCCGGCTCTTCTCTGTAGAACTACCGCTCCTAGGCCATATGACGAAGCATCAGCTGCTATTTTTGTTTCTTTCTTGGGGTCATACAAGGTCAGAACTGGTGCTGATGACAGGGTTTTCTTGATTTTGTCAAAGGCATTTTGTTGTGGAGGTCCCCATGTTCATGCGATATTTTTGACCAGCAGCTCGCGAATGGGTTTTGTCATGACGGCGAGATTGGTGGTAAATTTGCTGAATTGATTCACCATGCCAAGGAAGGAACGGACTTCATGTATGTTGGTTGGTGGTGGCATTTTCAGGATTGCTTGTATTTTCTCTGGGTCTGGTTTTATGCCGTCAGATCCAACAATCTGACCTAAAAATTTCACGCTGGGGACGTTGAATACACACTTTTCAGGATTAAGGGTGACGTTGGCATCGCCGAGTCGTTGGAGTACCTTTTCCAATCTTTGGTCGTGCTCCTCTGTGTTGTACCATATATTAGAACATCATCAATGTTGCATTCGACACCTTCTAAACCTTCGAGGATTTGAGACATACACTTCTGAAACTTTTCAGAGCCTGAGCTTATTCCAAAGGGAAGAACGTTAAAGCAATATCGTCCCCATGGGGTGATGAACGTTGTGAGAGGTCTTGCTTGTTCTGACAGTCTAATTTGCCCGAATCCCGAGTTCGCATCTAATTTTGAGAAATGCCGAGCACCAGCAAGGTTTGCAAATGTTGTTTCGGGTATTGGTAGTGGGTGGTTTTCGCGTTGTACGTACTGGTTGGGAGCTTCGTGAGATCTACACATATCCGAACCTTTCCATTGCTTTTTGGTGTTACCACCATCGGGGCGCACCATTCAGTCGGATCTTCAATTCGCGATATCACTCCGTTTTGTTCCATTCTTTTTATTTCTCGTTGAGTTTCTTTGCGGAGTGGAATCGGTACTTGTCGTGGTACTGTGATGGCAAACGGGATTGCATCTTGAGTGATTTTGATATCGTATTCTAGGTTTTTAATTTGTCCGAGACCAGTGAAGAGATTGGGATGCTTTTCTCTTATGGTTTTTTCTGTTTCAACCTTGTTTAGTACATCCACGTTGACTTGATTGATTAGCTTCAGATTCTGGGATGCTTGCCTTCCGAGTAGTGGTCTTTCTAAGCCTTTCACGACAAATATTTCTTCTGTCGTTGTCTGGTCCTCGTGTCGGAGCTGCGATGCGAATGTTTCCAATACAGTTCAGCTTGTGCTTACATGGACCCATTAGGACTTTTCTAGTCGAGTCGAGCTTTAGAGGTAGTTTTCGTTGTTGAAATGTTCTTAATGGTATCACTGTGACATCAACGCCACTGTCGATTTTGAATCTGATGTTTTCTTCATTTACTTTGATGTCTGCAGTCCACGGTTTACTGCTAGTGTTGCCGACAGTGTCTAGGAGTAATATTTCACCCAAGAAATATGCCTCATCTTCTGACAAATTCTCCTCCCTGTTTTCTTGCCTGAAATTTAATTCGTTTATTTCTTGCTTTCGGAATTGTTGGCCCGTTTGGCTTCGACATGCCTTTGCCCATATGTCCCTTCTTTGAACAATTATGACATATGGACTCACTTGCTGGGCACAATTGCCTGGAGTGTGGTGTTCCGAGACACCGTGAACATTTGGGCTTGTAAACTTGCTGTGTTTACTAGTACTCTGAGTAAACTGACCTTCACGGGAACGTTGTTGCTATCTATTCTTAGATATGTTGTCGATATTGTGCTCGTTACTTCCTGTGACTTTTTCTCCGTGAATAACACCTTTGTTGCTTTTTGATTTCCTCGCTTTGTCTTGCTTGAGACATAGCTTTCTCTAGAGTTAGATTTGGATCTAATTGTAACTTCTCCGATAGTTTTTTGTTTTGCAGTCCAACTACGATACGATCTCGCATCAATTGATCTTTCAGTACCCCAAATTCACAGTACTTGGCGACGCAATGTAGTCGGTAATGAAGCTTTCCACGGGTTCGTTTTCGTCTTGAGCTCGAACATTAAATTTCGCTCTTTCGAAAATCACATTTCGTTTAGTGATGAAGTGATTTTCGAACTTGTTTCGAACTGTTTCGTAGCTTTTTGAGCTGAGGCCAAACGATGTGATTATATCGTCTGCCTCATCGCCCATAGTGTAGATAAGCGCATTGACTTGTTTCTCTTCGTCTTTCTTGTCGAGTTCTGTAGCAATTCTAAACCGCTCAAATCGGCGAATCCATCGGGTCCATTCCGACGATTGAAAGCTAAACTTTGACGGCGGTGTTATTTGATACGTTGTAAAACTTCGCACAATATTTTCTTCGTCGTTGTTGCTTGATTCTGCCATATTTCTAAATAGCTAATTTTGTATATATCCCAGCGCTGCCACCATGTGCAATTATGTCTCGAACAATAATACCCTATAATGTCAATACACTTAGTTTATATACATCCTGACGTCATTAGTTAATATTAGTAATAAGTAATATTAGTGAGTTACTATTTGTTATATCACATACATACGGGTACAGTCGCCTTATTTTGTTCAACGAATTTCAATCGGACATCACATTTAAAATGCATTTCCAGTAGTCAGACTTTGATCTGTTGGGGCAAACAAGATTTTTATTGTAAAACATGTAAGCAGGTTGAATTTCTATTGAGCAAAATAAGGCTATACCCATACCCGTAGACTGCTTCAGGGTAAATTAAACTTTTAATATTTTGTTGGGGGACGCCTTCAGTGAAAACGTGACTTTTCTGTCTAATTTTCTTAAATAATGAATGCACTCTGTGTCAGTCAATATTTAAACTGTTATATGATTAGTCCTTGCACCGCCAAACCAGGTCAGGTGAGATCCATTTAGGCAAGCGAGTTTGTTGAATTGTGTCCTCATTTTCCAAGGTTCTGCCAAGAAAGAACAAAAGCGGAACTGGCAAAATGGATGAAGCCGTATATTTTTGCATATCCTACATTTGAGGACCTTCAGAGGGAGTTACGCTATTTTTTCACACGAGCAACTGAATTAGCGAGTTGTTAAATGAACTATCGTGATAAATACACGGATAGAGATTCAGTCAAGTCCTAATTTCCCTCTGTTCTTAATCTAATGATATGGGCTACTGTACCGCTACCGCTGGTAGGTGTGTAATGGTACGGAGAGACAACAATATAAACTTGAACAAAAACTACCCCGTATTTTGGTTTTTGTGTCTTTAAGATCTAAACACCAAAATAAAACGTTACATCTCCAAGCGCTTTTTAAATATCGACGTTGTCTATATTGTGGAAATCCCATCTTTTCATGTCTAATGAACGTGTCGCTCTTGAGCCAGCTGTTTGTAAAATGGATGAACTTATCACCTGGATAGTTTTTTTCAAACGTAGAAAGGACCTACTGACCAACTAACCTATTACGACCAACTGATTGAGCCGTACAAATTTATTTAAAATGTTCAAATAGAATACATATATGTGATATATATTACATAATTTACTTTTAAATTTTTTCAGTTTGCCCGAATTTTCGGCTGAACTTTGCCCGAATTTTTTTATTCTCGAAATTTTGCCCCCCCTGTCCGTACGGCTATGGGGACGAGGCAGAAAAACAGTTACAATTTTCCTATGGCTTTTCCAATTAAACAGCTAAGAAAAAATTGGTTCATCATCTGTAGCCTTTACACTCCTGTCACATGAATCCTGTGCCCAACAGCATATTTTTGTTCGGATTTCAGCCACTATTGAGCGAGCCGATCCACAGATTCAGCCAACGAGCGAATAGTAGCGTTGTTCATAATTAATTGTTCAATTCTAAGGTTTTCAATGCTTTCTGCACTATCAGATTGAACACTTGACCGCGTTTGTTTCACCACGTTATATAGAACCAACAGGCGGCATAACCTCCCCGGTTTATAGATCGACTGTCATCAACACTGTTGAATTCTCAGTGTTAGTAGCCCTGTCTACGCTAGCAGTCGCGCTTGCAAGATCGCCGCACATAGCTTTAATCACCCGAGTACGAATGCATGCTTTCGCATGCTTTCCCTCAACTACCAGGAACCTTTTGTTTTTTAGCCAGAGAATCGTAAAACCTTTCGCCTCAAAAAGTCTCTTTTCATTTGCTTGCAATGACCACGTTCCTTGTAGGATAAGACCATTCCTTACGAACTCCTTCAAGCTGTACTAGCTAATTGCGGGTACTTCAGCTTAAATATGTTCACTACTTGATTTTCGAAAAAAAATTCTTATTACCACGCGCTCTTTTTGTTGATATTGCCGAACGCTGACTCAATGTCTCGCTTGCTCACCAAAACTCGCGTGCGCAAAAGTATTAATTATCCACGTCAACAAAGGTCCGCTCACTTGTCGAAATTTTTCGAGAGGCTCGCATTTCGCGAATAGTTCGTTGCAAATTGTTTTCAAAAGCGTTGTTATATTGTGGTTCAATATTCTATATTGAAATTATCGAGAAAATATGTAAGTATATATAAGATTTTACGATTTTGGGTAAAAACACTGTGGTTTATTACATATATTTTTTTGTCTTAGTTCATTTTGCGTATTTTAAGTGGCTTAATATATAAAATATAAAGAGAGAAAAGTGTTTCCACAGTTCCACTTGTGTTTTGAAAGGAAGAGAATTTAGTTCACTTTCGAAAGCGAGGAAGTAAACTGGACGTTTTTATATTTGATTTAAGAGTTGAAATCCAACCATACTGAAATAAGGCAGCTTAGCGCAACGAATAAAGTAAACGCGCGCGCAAATAAAAACGCGCGGGTAACTCCCCAACGCACGTACCACGTCAAATCACAGCTTTGTAACCAGAATTTTCCTGTAACTCCTTCACATCTAGGCTTATGAATGGCCTAGAATTGAATTCTGTGTGTCACTCTCTAAACGTGTAAGACCGTGCTTCGATCTTCGTTTTTTTGTTTGAAACTTTTTAACATTATTCATGCATTTTCTTTCCCG